TGTTGATTACTCTGATGATGATGATGCAGTGGCTTCCGTCACAGGATCTCTCAAAGGTAAGGCTATTTACTACTACACTTATGGTTTTTATCAGTATATTACACCCCATAGTTTATGTGTATAGTTTATCATGGTGGTAGTGATATTTACAAGTAGACAACCACAAAGTTAATCAACATTTAGATAGTTTTGGTTGAAATATATTCTCCATGTAAACAAATCTGTCAAATCTCATTAATTTAGGTTTATTTTGATGTGATAGTTTTAAGGAGAGTTATTAATGAGGGTCACTTAATGTTCAGAAACTTAAAATATAAAGAAGGTCGTTTGTATTATAACTTAAGTGTTACTTATAACTCTTAACAACCGGTCATTCTCATAGATTAAGCTGCCTTCTATTGTACAATCTTTCGTAAACTACTTTTTAAAAAACCCACATCTCGTAATCACCCAGAAATGTTGGCAAATATTATCACTGACATGTTCAACAGATCACAATCTATATCGCTGTCTTGATATATTTTTCCCTGACCCTCTACTGAAGGTCGAAGGTCAAAGGTCATTAAATAAGAAACTACTGTATGTGTTTTATCTCTTCTTCTGTCTCATCAGTTTGTTTCTCTTATGTTTTCCTATTTTTCCTCGTACAGTTATCCGGATTTTTTTTTTATCCATTAATCAGCTTACTAGCAGTTCGGGTGAGTTGGTCTATCCAGGGTTAGTACAGGAGGATACCGGACTCTGCGAAACTTGCGTTAACTTGTTTTCAGAAGTTTCAGTTAAGAATAATTTATTAAAACAAACTTATAAAAATTTGTCTTTGATAGAAATCCAACGAGAAAGATAATATGATTCCAATGTTTCTTAATAATCAGTATAACATTCATGCCGACCCACCCATATTGACTGCTGTATGTAGTGCTGCCAGAGTGCGGTGTGTGGGGGGTCTTGCTGGGACGGTGTCTGCCAGCCACAATTATGGATTTCGGGTCCAGTTCTGTCAGGTTGTCGCACTGCAGCGCTGTTTTTTTTACTTGTAGCCTCGACCTACATCACTTATCCCCGAGAATGGGCCGGCTGTATCATAGTTAATTAAGTGACCAAGAATACTCAAGGGAGAGGAACGGAAGACTGGATCCTAAGATATAATTATATAATAGAGAAGTGAGCAGATGCCTTGTAACTTACAGACTCGCTAAGAGAACTCAGGCTCTTAACTGGCTCAGCCATGCTAATATTGTGATTATTTATCCACTCTGTATCTGTATTTTTCTGGCTAAATAAACTGTTTCAATATCAATAATCATCATTAGTGAGCCTCTATACTCAAGCCGGTAACTTGTTCCACTCATCCACTTCTCTATTTCCAAACCAGCGTTTACCTATCTCGCTCCTAATTCTAAATTTGTCTAATTCAAAACCATTGCTACGAGTTCGCTCCTGGTTGGATAGTTTGAGTACCTTTGCTATGTCCCCTTTGTTTAGCCCTGACTTCCATTTACAGTATACACCTCTATCATGTCGCCCCTCACTATACATCTCTCGAGGGAGTACAAATTCAGATGCTGTAACCTGTCTCCGTACTCAAGGTTCCTAATGCCCGGGATTAGTCTTGTCATCCTCCTCTGTATATTTTCTAGGAATTCTATATCCATTCTGTAATACGGTGACCAAAACTGAACTGCATAATCCAAGCGAGGTCCCACGAGCGCAAGATCTAGCTAACACTCCTTTGTATGAACCCAAGTACTTCGTTAGCCTTGTTTCGAGCAAATACACATTGTTTACTCGGTTTAAGATTCCTACTTATCATTATTCCTAAATCTTTCTCACAGTCGGATTTCTCTATAACATCGTTGTTCATCTGATATCTGATAATTCTCTGTTTACATCTCCGACCTAGACTAAGTGCTTTATATTTGTCCACAATAAATTTCATCTGCCATTTTTCAGACCATTCGAAAATTTTTTTTAGATCTTCCTATAGTTTTGCAGACTCCTCGTCAGATTTAATAACACGCCCTATTTTAGTGTCGTCAGCAAATTTACTTATGTTGCTGTCTATGCCCATATCTATGTCGTTTGTGTATATAATAAATAATAATGGTCCAAGTACTGAGCCTTGGGGAGCTCTACTAGTGACGTTACCCAAACCAGATTTAGTGCTGTTAATGCTGACTCTATTTCCTGTCCTGTAACCACGCCCCAATCCAGATTAGAACATCTCTAATGCCATGAACCTCCTCTTTGCATATTAGTCTTTCGTGGGGGACTCTGTCGAAGGCTTTGCTAAAGTTGAGGTAAACCACATCATAATCGTGTCCGTCATCCACTGATTCAAAAACAGTTGAAAATAATAATATCTTCTGATGTCTTGCATTGACAACTGAAGTATTTCTTACAATAACAATATTTGTCATTAACTCTGGCAATTCAGCAGTGCAGAAATTTAAAATCAACTTAAACTGTGTTGAGTTTTCTTTCTAGAAATGAAACAGGTGTATTTCTCTCCCCATGTACACGTGGAGTGTGTGGAGTTAGGGTTAAATTCAGATGTTTAATAACACTAGTAATCTGAATTCAATTGAATTGGGCTCAGCGAGTTAAGAGGACTGGTATCACTACCACCTTAAACTCTCAACATGTTCGCTAATAGTAAGAACATGGGACTAAACATAACTTCCCGGTGAGAATGAGAATAACTCAAGTTTAGATCGTAATACTACACTAAATGATCTCTGAACAGTAGTAAATGAACGGGGCGTAAAACTATACAAATGTGGCCACACATGTCTGCGGTTCGTAGAGAAACTCACTAAACCACAAAGGCTTAACATATTGTTACCTCACCCCTCACAATAATCGTCGCTGGGGAGACATAAATAAAATAAAAACATCTACGTGAACACTTAGGCCAGAGACTGTAACTACTGGAAAGAAAAACACGAACAAGAGAGAAGACAGAAAAGAATCGCAAGCCGAGTAAAATGCAAGATGGTGGTCATATCAGTACCTTACGTCTCTCACGAAGTCTAGTAAATTTGTTAAGTTATTCTCTAATAGTAAGATATATTAATAAATGCTAGTAATTCTTCAGTGGTATGTTGTGCTCATTACTGAATTCCATAAATCAATCCGCTGTTTCGCCACGTCTCTACATCTCTAAATGTAACCAAATCTCTTTTCTGAAAGGTTAGGAGTTAAATATTTGTTTTTAGTTATGGAAATGTTTAAGATATAATACTAGTTGTAATATATGGTTAATAATATCTATAAGTCGGCATTAGGAATAAAGAGTTGTTCATTATTAATAAATCTGTGTTATTTATAGTCTCTACCGGGAGAGGGAGCCACCTTTAGATGTGGTTTTAAGTAATGACAATAATTTCAAACAGCAACTTTCTAACGCCTCATAATTACCTTTTGTTGTGTAAATTATTATTTTTTTTGTCTCCAACAGATTATCAGTTAATTGTGTCTGCTTTGACGAGCAATACAGTGGAAATGAGATGGACGCAAGGGGTTCCTGAGTCATACAAAATACACAGGGATTCTCCAGCAAGTGATACATCATTTACTGATGCAACCGTTAGCTGTACGAAAACACCATGCACCGGGTACTTTGTGGATCTTACAAAATCAACATCATACACATGCTCTGTTTCAAACGATAGTTCACTTAATAAGATTACCGATCAAGTGACAACACCTGGTTCTTCTACTAGTACTACTCTATCAGGTAAGGCAATTTACAGTTTGAACAAATGATACTGTCACATATATGAACCAAACAAGCATCACAACCACTTACTAATACATTGTATCCCAGAGAGAGAGAGAGAGAGAGAGAGAGAGAGAGAGAGAGAGAGAGAGAGAGAGAGAGAGAGAGACAGAGAGAGAGAGACAGAGAGAGAGAAATGCCTCAAACAAATTACTGAACTTATCAATTATCCTTATTTGTAATGACTTTATCTATGACAAAGACTAAATTTTAATGTATACAAAATTCCCCAGTGAGTAAGTTTGTTGGCCCCAGTATCCGATAAGTTGACTCACTCTTGTTATATATAATTAATATTCTACTTAATGTTAGTATTAGCTTCACAGGTACTAAACACTCGACCAACACAGCAATATTTATCATACGCTTTGGATTACTTAATTAACTCCCTTTCTAAACGTTCAATCAAACTCTTTCGCTCTTATTGTGTGTGTGTGTGTGTGTGTGTGTGTGTGTGTGTGTGTGTGTGTGTGTGTGTGTGTGTGTGTGTATGTGTGTGTGTGTATGTGTGTGTATGTGTGTCTGTGTGTGTATGTATGTGTGTGTGTGTGTGTGTGTGTGTGTGTGTGTATGTGTGTCTGTGTGTGTATGTATGTGTGTGTGTGTGTGTGTGTGTGTGTATGTGTGTGTGTGTGTGTGTGTGTGTGTGTATGTATGTGTGTGTGTGTGTGTGTGTGTGTGTGTGTGTGTGTGTGTGTGTGATAATACAATATATGACGTCATACATCTCATATCCAGTACTGTTATAGAGTTGTACGAATGGTTGTTATAGCTGACAGTATACTAGTAGATATTAGACCCTATTTTAACTAATTACTAAACAACCTAACGTTACCTAAGACGTGTTAGGTTAGGTTAGGTTAGGTTAGGTTAGGTTAGGTTAGAACCGAGTGTGCTGTTGAGTCTTTTGTTGTCTGAAAAGTAGTGGAAATGTTAACTGTTACGAAGGAAAGGAAAAACTATTAAGATTAGAAAAAGTGAAGATATTATCAAGTGGAAGGAATCAAGAACTGTATGATTAGGTCCAGGAATCCGATGAGGGTGAGGGCAACAGTGGATAACAATAAGGTAGAGGTGTGTTATACCTACTTAAGAGCCGGGGAGTGAGGTGTGACTGGGTGGTGAGCAAATTGGGAGGGAGTGTTTAGTGCTTGAAATATGTAACACTAGTGAGGAAGGAGGAATGATAACTGAAATATAAGAGTTCTGAAAGGTAGTCAGGTGGAAGGCGTTGTTTTAAGAGTGATATAAGTGGGAAAGTGTGAGTTTAGAAGTGTTGTGTGTTGGCGATCATTGTCTCTTTTAAACAGAAACGATACTGCGTGTTAATTCGCCTGTACAAAATAAAACGATTCCAAAGTATTAATTGGTAACCTGTTGTCTTTATCTATCACGCAGGTCTCTTTATAAAACAACTCTACTTGAAATGGAACAGCGATACAAATACGGCTGGTACAACTGTGTGCTTCACTCGCAACAACGCTTCCAGTACCGAAGACTTACGCAATTACGAGCTTATAATGATCAGCAACCTCGGACAGGTGTTGAAAAGCCGAGGAGCGACACGGAAAGCAGACAGTCTTCTATGCTTTGAAGAGGTGACCCTAGAAACCCGAGTGTTTGACGTGACGGGCAAAGTGGAGGTGATTGTTGTAAAGAGGGACTCTGGTGGCCAAGCTGTACTTTCGAGTGGACAGTCTGGCGTGTTCTTTATTTGTAAGTCACTAAAGAAGCTGCCTGTTGAGAATGACAACTTCGAGCTTTGACATCTTGTATAAAAATAAGGGAATACGATGATCTATTTTAGGTTATTTTGCAGTTATTTAAGGTACTGTACAATGAAAGGAATAGTGGTAGTAATTGGCGTCATTATATTATCTCAGGTGATCATGATATAAGCTGAGGCAGTTTAGATTTAGACTTAATGGTACACAAAAGTCATAACAATAACACAAACCGTATATAATAAATAATTAGTAATAATAATAACCAAAACCGTCTGCACAGGTAGCATCAGGATGGTTAATCTTCAGGTGAAATAAATTGTCTAATCATAAGGTGCTACAAAAATATCACCTAACTTTTGTCATGTATTCCATAAAGCCCCCAAAGTGGAGGGAGTCAATGCCCGCACGGCCCGCGTTTCCTGGTACAACCCTGGCGGACACACACTAGCTGTCAGAAGAAAAAACGACCCTGCACCCATCACCACCTCACACCAGACTACCTTCGTGCATTACTTCTCTAGGGTAATATAACAAACTCTGCAGTTATAAAATTCTATTATATAAACAACCATATTACCTCATTCCGTCAACCAGTCCCGATAAATAATGATAGGGATCAATTTAATATCTTTGTACGGAAATAAACCACTTGTTCCTTAATTCTCTTCAATATATTGTTCCCCCAGTAACATGAATCCTTTACTAATAAGTTCTCTTTACTTCAGACATCAGAAGATAAACTGGTGGTAGACACTGAGGACTCTAAGGTGAAGATCACGGCTGAAGTTCCCCTCAATCCTTCTACAGACAAAGGCATGTGATCCACCCTACCTTCACACCTCACACTGGGGCCCTGTTGTCCTGAGTTCAAATAATTATGTTTTATTATTGTTTGTAGGGAAATAGGAAACTGATAACTACTCTCAGTGATATTTATGTAGTCTAAGTGGGGGGGTTTTATTATCATTCATATATAACGAATAAATCCGGATATATCTCTAAATAAATTCCTCAGAACATTGATAAATATACCATATGTTTTCTCTCTACCAAATTTAACATTACAGTACAATATTATCCGGATGTTGACCAGAGAAATATGTCCCGTTAGATGAGTTTCCACACTTAATAGTTTATACTGTGTAGAGGAATAACCTTCAGACACTTTTTACAATAAGCTATATGGGTAGTTGACCTTCTACTGTTAGGGGTCACAACAATCAGATCTGTAATGACATATAAATACTTGATGTGTGTCTTGGCGGCCTCACTACCAGGGTTCATAAGCGCTTCACACTAAGGCTTCTGTGTAGCTTTACGCTTTAGCTACACTACACTACCACCAAATCTTATAGTTCAATAGAAAACTAGTAACACTTAAAAGACTCAGGTTTTATTAATCTTCAGTAAATAAGGTCTTTAAATGCGGAAATTGACTTAACAAAATAATAAGATAAAAATAACGTTGAAATAATCTATAGTGAAAGTGTACTATACTGTTGTCTTCACTACTGGCGGGTCAGTCGTCCATATATTGTACGGGTGGACGTGAATCAATCTTGCTGTAGGATGTTTACCTAACCGGGACAAGTATGGCGGTCGGTTCTAAGCTATTCAACATATTACTGTAATGTGACATTGTTTTTGGATTGTTCATAAATACTTTAGTTGTGAGTGTATTTATATGAATGGAACTAAAATATATAATTAAGCAAACAAAAACTGGCTATAATCCCTAACTTATCTATAAACAAAACTAATATAATCAGTGTGTATACGTGACTAAACCTTCAGTAAACAAGGGAACAGCGTGGCCTGCACTGCACTCGATCTCCTTCACTTCCCCAACTGTAAAGTTAGATAGCCACTTAAAACCTATAGGTGGATTGAGACGCGAACCAGTGATGCTTAGGACAGGAGTTAAGCACTATATCCACTCTGCCACCTCACCTCTTCGTGTACACCTTGTGGCCTTACCATTAACAGTATGACCACAATACCCCGAAATATGTGAAAATCATAATGGAAATTCAGGATTTATGAATATTTACGGAAAATACTTCAGGAGAAACTTAACACACATACTGTCTCTAGTTTCAGACCTAATATTTTATGTCTGCTATTAGGGGGACGTTTGGGTGATCAAGGGGAGAGATTACTCAAATTTGAAATGAATAAAGTGTTTAAAGTAGTAGTAGTAGAAGAGAGAGAGAGAGTGAATAAAAATGGTTATATTATTCCCGAACCTAAAAATATCTCCTATATTTTGACATAACTTTGTGCTATACGGTATATATTTAATTAATCCATATATTGAGGTTATATCGTATTAATTATGGTTATAACGTATTAAGGTTACAACGTATTAATAATCTTCAACAACTATATATTTAAAAGGAACACTACACACTACGTCACATACTAAACAAATGATGTAAACAAACTAGCAAACTAAACGTAACATTTAAACATCAATCCAATATTTTACACGATATAAAAACTCCAGTAAAACAGATAATTTTCTCTGTATCATTTATAGGTTATTATTATTATTATTATTATTATTATTATTATTATTATTATTATTATTATTATTATTATTATTATTAAAACATTGACTATTATTTTTTAGTTGATATTTAATATTGAATGATTTGTATTCTTTTGCATGATGTTAAATAAGCCATAATAAGTTGATAATGTTCAAGGTTTTGTTCTAATACCAACACAAGTTCATAATAAACAAAGGGTGTCTAATCTTCATGTGATACACCAAGTTACCATTATAAATATGTTTCTCTTCCTAAACTGAATATTACCAGCAACTGTATACTCTTAAATCATCAGTAACGAGGAATATCCACTATGGGAAGCTTTAAGAATCTCGGCCTCGATCATATTCTAAAACATATTACAAAACATATCAAAAAATACTTAAAAAAAGATATATATTCTAATGGTTTTAACAATCGATCATGTCTGAGTAAATTTAGTACTCTCAAGGTATACCAGAATTTAGTTTACCCATCTGTCTCATTTTTGTAAACTAACTCCCACCAGTCTACCTGTACGTACGTGTAAACAGGTGTAGCGAGCGTGTCTCTCACCAATGTGACTAAGGTTCGATTCCTATTAGGGTCTGAAATGAGAAGGGTCCGGTGTCCATTGAACTCTTAGTCGTGATTCATAAAACTATCTAGTATATTATGTGTGTCGGTCAGTGGATGCAGAGGTGTGAATCAGTTCCTCTACGTCGAAAAGAGAAAAACGAAGTCTCTCTCTCCCTCTCTCCTCACCAACAAAACGGGTGAAGACGATACAATGCACACACACACACACACACACACACACACACACACACACACACACACACACACACACACACACACAGGGCATCATTTCAGTACACTTCATGATGTATAAAAGTATATATAATTTCACTGCATCAGACCAAGACCATTACCCCTGTTATACCTCTCCAGACCTGACCTTGATCAACTGACCTTTTGACCTTGAGGACAGGCAGGCCGTGACCTTGATCAACTGACCTTTTGACCTAGAGGACAGGCAGGCCGTGACCTTAATCAACTGACCTTTTGACCTTGAGGACAGGCAGGCCGTGACCTTGATCAACTGACCTTTTGACCTTGAGGACACACCCAAGAGAGGCCGTGACCTTGATTAATTGACCTTTTGACCTTGAGGACACACCCAAGAGAGGCCTGACCATGATCAATTGACCTTTTGACCTTGAGGACACATCCAAGAGAGGCCGTGACCTTGAATAATTAATCTGTTGACCTTGAGGATACACCCAAGAGAGGCCGTGACCTTGACCAATTGACCTTTTAACCTTGAGGGCACACCTAAGAGAGTCCGTGACCTTGATCAATTGACCTTTTGACCTTGAGGACACACAGGCCTTGATTCACTGACCAGATAAACCCACCGTCAGTCAACTTAGCCCGTGATCTTGTATACCTGACCTTTTGACCTTACATAGAGGCTGAACCTGACCTGACCTGACCCAGCCAACTGACCTCGTGATTGTAACTAAGATGACCAGATGAGTTGTATATTAACACACCGTCATATTAAAAGTATAATTAGCGTTAACCCAATTATCAATATTATAGATAATTTTATAATTCACATCATCCATAAATGTATATAAAACCTACTCTACTTCTATAAATACATATGTATAAATTGCTCTCATTTTCTTTCAGATGAGGTTGTCTTAGTGACGATGAATGAAGTAATTCTGGGAACGTCATTTCAAATCTGTTGCGAGGACGACCTGACTTCATACAAGCTCGCTGAACTTACATACATCAACGACGAAGATCCAGTGACTGAGGATACCATTAAGGGTACCGTTATCCCGTCAAACTGTTTAACCTTCGAAGACCTGTCGCAAAAACTGACGGCTGATCATATAGTGTTTGAACTGAGACTCTATACAGACGAAGACGGCACTCAGCAGACAGGAAGAGGCTCCATAGAATTTACTAAGCCAGGTAAGAACGTCTCTCCTTCCCTCTCGCCCTACCTCTCTCTCTCTCTCTCTCTCTCTCTCTCTCTCTCTCTCTCTCACACACACACACACACACACACTATATCATTCTACCTCACTTACACTATTCCATGAGAGAGAGAGAGAGATAATTGTTTTAGATATAATACTTGACTGAATTAGTGAAATATAAACCATCCCTGTTAACTCCTTGGTGGGGAGGGGGATTTACACTCATCAATTTTTCGTTACCTAACCTAACCTAACCTAACCTAACTTAATCCAGTCTTCCTTTTATGCCAGATTTATCAAACTTGCCTCAATGTACCGCTGCCAATATCGTCGGGGACAAGAAAATGCTACGTCTCACATGCCCATCAGAGATCCAACCAGAAGATTTTATCAGCATAGATAATAAACACCCGGTGGAAATAGACTACCGCTCTACATTCGAAACACAAATACAATATCTCCTTCTAAAAAACCCAATCACCACAGGGAAGCTCAAGGTGTACCGTAACATACTAAATGTGATAGTTAACGACGGTGAAGTTACAGGTACAGTGGTGGTATCTAGAGACACAGTGGACATAATAGACGCTACCACAACACGTAAGTTTAAGCCTCTGGTTTTGAGTTAAAATTTAAAATCATATATCTATTGTGTTAAATATGTCTAATGTCAGCTGTAATTCTCTGTGTAAATTCCATGTGATTATTTTTGTTGACCTACTCTGACCTACCTTCTGTTGACCTACTCTGACCTACCTTCTGTTGACCTACTCTGACCTACCTTCTGTTGACCTACTCTGACCTACCTTCTGTTGACCTACCTTCTATTGACCTATTTTGACCTACCTTCTATTGACTACTCTGACCTACCTTCTATTGACCTACTTTGACCTACTCTGACCTTCCTTCTTTTGACCTACTCTGACCTACCTTCTATTGACCTACTTTGACCTACTCTGACCTTCCTTCTTTTGATCTACTCTGACCTACCTTCTATTGACCTACTTTGACCTACCTTCTATTGACCTACTTTGACCTACCTTCTATTGACCTACTTTGACCTACCTTCTATTGACCTACTTTGACCTACTCTGACCTTCTTTCTTTTGACCTACACTGACCTACCCTCTACCCTTACTTATGCTGATCCCCCTTCATAATTATGTTCTGTTCTGGTCTGTTCTGACCTGTACTAACCTGCTCTGATCAGGTTTGTTCCTACCTGAGCCATTTCAATTTGACCTGAAGTATGTTTTGATTATCGTAGTGGGGTGGTTGAGTGGGAACAGAGCTCGTTTCATGTCTTATGTATCCCTGGTTTGCATTTCTGGCACACCCATTTCACACAACTGCGAATGGGTGTAGGGTCATGCCTTCTCCTTGTGTACCAAAGGCTTAGTGTGCAGTGTGCTGTATCCTCACTGCCCCTAACTCTCACTCAAGCTTAATGAGGCTCATTTTCAATAGTCGTATCCTACTGCTAACATCTCTTACCGGTGTTTATCTGTTCTGACCTGTGTTAACCTGTATTGACCTGTTTTGACCTGCACTGACCTGTTTTGACCTGCACTGATCCTGTGTTGACCTGCATTATACCATGTTGTTCTGCCCTGACTTTTTTACCTGTTTTTAACCTGCTAAACTATCGTGATCTGTCCTGACCTATGTTGACCTGCACTAACCTTTGTTAACCTGTCCTGAGTTGACCTGTCACGACCTTTGTTGGCTTGCCCTGATCTGTCTTGACCTTTTTGACCTGTAATGACCTGCCTTTCTTCCTTACACCAATTACTATATCGGTTACATTCTTAGGTCATTCTAGCCTTCATATGATGATTAAGTTGTCTTGTATCTACGTAAGCATCTCCACTACACACACACGCACACACACACACACACACACACACACACACACACACAACATTGCCAAAATAGTAAAAGTAATGTGCATTTTACCCAACTAACAACATCCAGAGCCCAAGGAGTTAGTTCAGTGACCCAATTATTAAAAGTCAAGGGTCAATCTAAAAACATCGCCTTGAAGACAGAATTCTCACATATATCCTATTCTACCTTTTCAGAACCAACACCTACATCGATAAAACTGGAGTACGAACCAACACAGACGACAGTTGAGGGTACGTCTGGTGCCGCAAGTGATAAGTTCGATGTTGTGAATTACTGGGGGAATACAGTACAAGCATGCCTAAGTCTCGACCCTTCTACACTGACGTGCTCACTCACTGGGTACGAACCAGGACCCCACGAAGTAAATATTCTGGTGGTGGGGTACAAGAATGACAATCCCCACACGATGTTAGAATCAAAAGTCAATACACTCCAAGGTAAGAGGGAAATAAGGATGCTTTTATTATTATTATTATTATTATTATTATTATTATTATTATTATTATTATTATTATTATTATTATTATTATTATTATTATTATTATTATTAGTGTTGTTGTTGTTGTTGGTGTTGTTAGTTGTAGTAGTTGTTTAGAGGCTGCCAACATCTCCTTCAAACAAGCTTGGCGTCACGTGGTTGAGGGAAAGCGAGACAAAAATATCAAAATATAGAAGAGTGACATAAATTGTTCGGCTTACAGTTGATCAGTATTCTGTCTACCGTTGATCAGTATTCAGTCTACCGTTGATCAGTATTCTGTCTACCGTTGATCAGTCTTGAGTCTACCGTTGAAACATTCAACCATTACACTATAATCAAGAGCTTTTATTAATACCTGAGTGAGCGAGACAAGATGGTGTGTGTGTGTGTGTGTGTGTGTGTGTGTGTGTGTGTGTGTGTGTGTGTAAGTTCCTCGATTCTCTGGTGTTTATTACTACTATTACAAGCTGTGGTTGGACCCCCATAACCCGACCACCCCTGTCCTCATTAAATTATTCTACCTTGAAGTATTATCATCACAGCTGTTGAAGTATAATTTCTGTTAACTATGAGACCTACAAGTGTACTTCATTAATGTGTACTGTATTTCTCTCCTCAACGGATGCAATAAAACTGTAATACTGTATTTTTTTTTTCTCCTCAAGATTTTGGCATCGATGGCATTTACATCACAAGCAAGACTATAGAGATGAAATGGACGATACAAGAAAATAAACTGAAATACTTTGCAACGCTTAGTGAACCCACGTTAACTGAGCCATCCTTCACCACTGCGGAAGTGACTTGTAATGATGGAGACACTCATTGCTACGTCTATTTCCTCCATCTAGAGAGCAAACCTTACATTGTCACTATTCAACCGTTTAAAGATAATGACAATGCGGACCCCCTCAATAAAATAGTGTCGAAAGCTGTTCCTCCCTCGTCATTAGAGATGGCGACGATCGACAGTCTGATGGGTGAGTGTATCTGATTTGTTCTTGTTCTTGAGACCTACATGAATGGTCTCCACATGTTACCAAATAGACGATGTTTTTTCTTTCTTTAGCCTTGATCGCGTCACACTGGACTTGTTAACTTCATAGACTGTGATACAATTTGTTGAACTAATAACACGAGATTACACTGACGATCTTCTTCAGTGCGATAAATATATACATGATGAATACAGCGGATGTATGGCATATAATATACATGATGAATACAGTGGATGTATGACACTAATAAGAACTTTACAACAACACTCATAATCACATACGTTTGTCGCTTTCCAGATCTGCCTACCAAGCTGAACATCAACTACATGACGTTTAAACTCCAGTCAAACCCCACTGGACAACCCGTGAAGACAGTAATCAACGTAAAATGTGACAAGGCTATACCAAGTGCCACCGATGTTACCCTCTCCTTCATTGTTTACGATGAGGGTGATAACAGTGTCCATACCTATGTTGACAGTGTGGAGGTAGAAGGGGTTACTGAAGCCTCAAAAGATTACACATTTCCGAAAATGCAGGATAATGGACTCGTCGCTGGCAAAGTTACTGTCATGGTAGTGGCTCACGATGCCACCTCAGCTGCTGTGGCGGCTGGTTATGCCACTGTCACACTAGAAGGTTAGTGTCTTAGTGTTGGTGTGACCTGACCTCTGCTGTCACACTAGAAGGTCAGTGTCTTAGTGTTGGTGTGACCTGACCTCTACTGTCACACTAGAAGGTCAGTGTCTTAGTGTTGGTGTGACCTGACCTCTACTGTCACACTAGAAGGTCAGTGTCTTAGTGTTGGTGTGACCTGACCTCTACTGTCACACTAGAAGGTCAGTGTCTTAGTGTTGGTGTGACCTGACCTCTACTGTCACACTAGAAGGTCAGTGTCTTAGTGTTGGTGTGACCTGACCTCTACTGTCACACTAGAAGGTCAGTGTCTTAGTGTTGGTGTGACCTGACCTCTACTGTCACACTAGAAGGTTAGTGTCTTAGTGTTGGTGTGACCTGACCTCTACTGTCACACTAGAAGGTCAGTGTCTTAGTGTTGGTGTGACCTGACCTCTACTGTCACACTAGAAGGTCAGTGTCTTAGTGTTGGTGTGACCTGACCTCTACTGTCACACTAGAAAGTCAGTGTCTTAGTGTAGGTGTGACCTGACCTCTACTGTCACACTAGAAGGTCAGTGTCTTAGTGTTAGTGCACGTGTTCTCATGTGTACGTTATTGTGTGTATGTGTTCATGTATACATTATATGCATGTGTCTTCATGTGTACATCATAATATACATGTGTTCATGTGTACAGTATGTTACTGTATATACAGGTATGTGTTCATGTGTATGTTGATGTATGTATGTGTTCATGTGTATGTTACTGTATATATGTGTTCATGTGTATGTTGATGCATGTATGTGTTCATGTGTATGTTACTGTATGTATGTGTTCATGTGTATGTTGATGTATGTATGTGTTCTGTATATTATCAGGCATTTCAGGACCAACACCAAAATACTACTACCACTCTGCTTTAAACTATGATACTGCGCACTGTCAGAATTTGCTCATTTGGGGAATCCTTCAGCGCCGTGTAAGTTATACCCCTGAAGAAAAACAACAAGCAGTCATTATTAGAACTGGTCTTTTTCATCACTCGCTAAAATACAGAACTACTAAATTGCACTCCTATATTCCCGGATCTAGCCAGAATTTCTAAAACGTGCAAAACATATACATTTAAAGGTTTAGTAGGAATGCTTACAAGGTGCAATGTGATTCCATAATTCCCAGATTCCAATACGTTGCGTCACGGTGTTTAAGAACGGTTAATCAGATTCAATTACATTAAATAGCATTAAAAGAAACCATTAAATTTATCTAGTATTATTCTAGTATATCTTTTATCTAACTAGGCCATGTTTTCCTTCTTGATACATGAAAAAATAATAATAGTCTCTTTCTTATTTATTAGTGAAGAATGCTTTGAGTTGTAGGCATGGGAGCGGGTGACACAGTGGAGGCGAAGTTCGAAGCGTTCCGAAGTCTGTATTTTCCCCATAGTCTTATAACTCACCAGCCATGAAACCTCCAATGAACCATTTCTCTCGCCCTCACTCTCTCTTCTAGATATTGCACCCAAAGTTGTGAGAGTGGGCCAAATAGACGGGACAAACTTCGAAGCGTTCCGAATCACTTACAACAAGACATCAGAGGGTAAAGTTCAGTTAGACTACGAGGCATCCTGCGAGTGTGATGAGTCTCCCTGCTACTGCCTAGACAACAAAAGAACACCCAGTGATCCCAGTCCACTGTGTCAAGAACTGAAGTATACCGACCAACAGAAGGACAGTCTAATGCACTGTGACGACCAAATCAAAGCTACTGAGTCAAAGGAGAGTTAGTAGAACATCCTCTTTTTTGGTTTTACATCTTATTCTTGTCAGCCATTCCTTCCTCTTCCGCCATCATCTTCATCTTTATCATTTTTTATCGTTATCCCCTCCTCCTCCTCTTCTTCTTCATCTTCTTACTCATCATTATCATCATCATCATCATCATCATCATTATCATTTTATTCTTCTCCTATTCTTCTTTGTCTTCTCCATCTTCATCATCATCTTCTAACCTCATATGATTTTATTATCGCCATTCTTAGTATTCCACTTATTGATGCCATAATCGTTGTTTCTTGTTCTCTGATATCGTTAACCTTAGTCTCACAGCTTTGTCATTATTAGACTGCAGTGTCTATTGTTTCTAATAAAAGGTAGTGGAAATAACTTCAATTGTTCATGGAAATCCGAATTGAAATTATAGTAAAAAAAAAAGAACTAATAATAATAAAAACGGTAATAACATAAACAAACAACAATAATAATAATAAAACTATACGTTAATAACACCAAATTCAACCTCCATTACAGAGCCATCCATAACAGCGATTACCATGACGTATCCAAGTGAGAGTTCCAAAACAGTGAAGCTCCTCGTTGACGCAGACTTCAAGGATGCTAAGTCAGTCGAGGTGGTGTTTTACGATCCAGCAGACGGTACTACGATAAATAAACCAACATTCACCTGCAGCGATCTCAGTCACAACAACTGCCAAGTACCAAAAGCACCAGTGAAGGATAAAGTGACTGATTACAAACTGTTGGTCGTGAGCACAAAAGCTAACGACGACATTCAGTCGAGCATAAACTATTTTGAAGGTGAGTTATTGAAGACTTGTTGATGATGATGATGATAAGGAATTAAACTGGACAATAAAGCTCATAACAACGTAACAAAGAACGACGAGTATAATCTGATATAGATGAAATGCCAATGGTATGAACGATAGATCTATGTCTGGGTTAGGGTAAGATTGCTGCTATCATTGGTAATACTGACAACAAGGCCCTCATTATAAACATCTACTTTACTTACAGACTACAAAATCAATGTAGATCAGCTCACCACCGACTCTTGTAAGGTACAATTTGCAACCAAGACCAAACAAGAGTACACCATCTCCATACCAGAGAGTGGAGGATTTAACCACACTGACTACCAATGTGGAGGTTCTGATGAAGCGGACATGTGTAGCGTGTATTTCGTCTCCATGAAAGCTGGCAGTAAGACGATCAGCGTGCAGAATAAAACGGAAGGAAAAGTAAACGTGGTGGAACTTAACTTCAACGTCCAAGAGTCGGAACCAAGTAAGAGTCAGTTTAACATAATATAAAGACACCTCAGCTTGCTTGTTTCACCTAATGATTAAGCTTCCTCACGTTAACCTAACCTAACCTAACACTGACATAATCTAACCTAACCTAATCTAACCTAACCTAACCTAACCTAACCTAACCTAACCCACCCAGGTAGCATTAGGCTCTTTAAACATCAAATAAAATAAACACACACTGAAGTTCAACACACACTAGAAAGTTCAACACACACACACTAGGAAGTTCAACACGCACACTAGGAAGTTCAACACACACACACACACACACACACACACACACACACACACACACACACACACACACACACACACACACACACTCACACACACACACACACACACACACACACACACACACGACCTCATCTGCAAATTTGGTAAGAAGCTTCTACACCATCCTCGACACCGGCTCCTACTACCACCTGAGATCCCTAGCCCAAGAATTGCTGTTCGACACCACAACCGCATCCAGCCCATACGTGCACGAACTGATCGCTATAAGAACAGCCCAGTCCCAACCATTGTAAAAATTATCAATAACTTGTAATAAACCAGTGTATTCACTCCCAGTAAATACTACTACTCTTGCACTGTCACTATGTTGAAATGCACTGTAGTTTGAGCTTTTCCCCATCTAGTTATTATATATCTTATTTGTATCACTTATGTTACTTGTATATTATTTGTAATTCGAAACCCATTCCCCAAATATGTAACTGTGTATTTTCAGCCTTCTGACTGCCAAGCTCTTTCAATAAACCGTTAATTATTATTATTAATATTATTATTATTATTATTATTACACACACACCCACACACACACACACACAGGGCCAAGGTTTGCCATTCGTAAATAAAGACCAAAAATCTGTGAGTCATTTAAAGGTTAATGAATCTAGCAGGTGAGAATAAGGTCTTGATCTCAATAAAAATTAACTAACACAGCTATCATCTAATTTGTCTTATTAGCGATGGTATTGTGGCACTTTTCATTTATGTTTAAAAAAATCAAACAATATCACACTAATTCTTATCAGGTTGGTATAAGTACTGTAGTAGGTGTTGAGTTACGTGAGTGTGGGTATCATCCGTGTCTTGGCTCTGTAACGATAAAGCCGTAAAGAGTGAGGATATCACTTGGTTTTGTCCTGGGGTTGAACTAAAGGTGTCAGAATTAAGGAACGAAAGCTTTAGTCTGAGGTGATATTATTATTATTATTATTATTATTATTATTATTATTATTATTATTATTATTATTATTATTATTATTATTATTATTATTATTATTATTATTATTATTATGATATACGGTACATAAAAATTCAATTAGCATATTTTCTTCCTTTCAGCTTTTACACCTCCAACCTTCGTCATTAACAAAGTGACTGAGATCCGGAGCACGACTACAAGTGGTGAAAGCAACGTAAAAGCAACTTCACATACAGTGTCAGTCACCGTAAGAGCAAAGAAGGGAGTAACCGATATTTCCTCGGTAACTTTAGTCATCATTAAAGTTAACGGCGATGAGGGTATCGAAGATTTGTTGACTTCCGACGAGACGGGCGATGTTAAGAAGGAGGACGTAAAAAATTATACATTCACAGTCCCTGGAGACGATGTTGCACTATCAGAAATATCGTATATGTTGATAGAGGCGAAGCATGAAAATAGTGATTCATCAGACGTCGGTGAAGCCTCTATCACACTGGAAGGTAAGACACCCTCGGGAGCTTCTAGGTAAGGCAGACAGACAGACAGACAGATAGGCGTGTAAGCTCAGGTGAACCTAGTGAGGAGAGGATTACACAGAGCTGAGATCATTACATCATTTGATCTATCAATGCAGATCTGTGCAGCTTCTCCGAATGGGGAGGTAGAAACTTGGTTACATTCATAGTAATAAAACACAGCATTTGCCAATTGCACTTTCCAAATTAGATGATCTCCCACCAATCCCATTTCAGGATGCTATCATTCTGCCAAATTCTAAAATAGATATGCTAGGCCTCACCATTTCCTCTAATATGTCATGGAAGCCACACATCCTCAACATTGCTAAAGCTGCCTCTCGAAAGCTGGAAATGCTGTACAGATGCCGGAGCTACTTCACTCCTGAGCAGTTGCTCCAAGTATATAAGGGATTCATTCGTCCTAACTTGGAGTACTGCTCTCATATCTGGGGCGGCTCTTCTTCTGTCCAACTATTAGATAGGGTGGAATCAAAGGCATTTCGTCTTATTAACTCTCCTCCTTTAGTCGACAATCTCTCTCCCCTTTCTCTTCCCTGCACTGTTGCTTCACTCTCCCTTTTTCAGGTACTTTAACGGGCAATGTTTGGTGGATTTGGCATCCCTGAGAAAATAAATAAAAAATTCAAAATTCTCCCCCAAAATTTAATAAATTAAAATTCACATGGCTCGTAACACTCGTCTTGCCCGCGGTGCCCACCATTTCTCCGTGGATGTCGGTCACACTATAATAACTCGTTATAGTACCTCCTTCTTTCCCACACAGCTAAACTGTGGAATGCTCTGCTTCTTCTGTGTTTCTATACTCATACAAACTTTTTATTTTCTATTTTTAAATTATTTTTACTCTTATTTCTTTTTTTTTTCGCCCCCAGGCCCTGTTGTGGGTCGATGACCTGTGCCCGGGTGGGCTATTCCCTCTAAACAAAAATGGTCAGGGTTGGACTGTTGCCGTATTATAAGAATCTCAAAACCACTTAACTATAAGACAGGTCATTATCAGGGGGTACATGAATTTGAAGTCGAGGATTCTCTAGATAAACTGACTATACAATAATAATTTGCAAAAGAAATGTGATTCCATATTCAACATAACCCTCTTAGGCTTTGTCACATCTTAGTGGTAGTAGGTAGATAGGCAGCTACCAAACAGGGAGGTACTACCGCCTGGGAAGATATTGGAAGCATAATGTGTTGGCTCATGGTAGACCCTGCTGCCATATGGCACCACAAGAATTGTGACCAAGTCCCAGGTTCCTCATCTGACTTTCTGCTTCATTTACACACAATTGCAGGGTCTCAATTGTTTCTCTTACCACAACATACATATATCGTTTCTCACTTTTGATCTTTTTTCATTTTTGTATTTATAGTTCTTTATTATTAATAATAATATTATTATTACAGTTACTGTATTATTATCATCATTATTTTATTATTTTATTTTTGTTTGTTTTATCATAAATTTTATTTATTATGAATTATTATGACTATTATTTATTATTATTATTATTATTATTATTATTATTATTATTATTATTATTATTATTATTATTATTATTATTATTATTATTATTATTATTATTATTATTATTATTATTACATTTTCGCCCCCCACGCCCCAATGTGGGTCAGTAACCTGTGCCCGCGTGGGCTAATTCCCGTAAAAAAAAAAAGGTTAGATTACATTAATAAAACATTACTGTATAAGTTAAAAGCTATGAGGTCAAATTGTGTCTCTAACACTCCGCACTCATTGGCAAATGGGGATAAACCATCACTGAGTTGTGTCTGATGGCAGCACTTACGGACCAGTTTCAAAACACTCAGTACAGTACTCCATTTATGTTAATACACTATCAGGCAGTGTTCAATAACGGTACCTTGCCACGAGCCTAAAGGTAAATTATACCGCTCTAGCGTCTGTGTTCCTCAGTGTTCCCAGTGTTCAATAACGGTACCTTGCCACGAGCCTAAAGGTAAATTATACCGCTCTAGCGTCTGTGTTCCTCAGTGTTCCCAGTGTTCAATAACGGTACCTTGCCACGAGCCTAAAGGTAAATTGTACCGCTCTAGCGTCTGTGTTCCTCAGTGTTCCCAGTGTTCAATAACGGTACCTTGCCACGAGCCTAAAGGTAAATTGTACCGCTCTAGCGTCTGTGTTCCTCAGTGTTCCCAGTGTTCAATAACGGTACCTTGCCACGAGGCTAAAGGTAAATTGTACCGCTCTAGCGTCTGTGTTCCTCAGTGTTCCCAGTGTTCAATAACGGTACCTTGCCACGAGGCTAAAGGTAAATTATACCGCTCTAGCGTCTGTGTTCCTCAGTGTTCCCAGTGTTCAATAACGGTACCTTGCCACGAGCCTAAAGGTAAATTATACCGCTCTAGCGTCTGTGTTCCTCAGTGTTCCAGTGTTCAATAACGGTACCTTGCCACGAGGCTAAAGGTAAATTATACCGCTCTAGCGTCTGTGTTCCTCAGTGTTCCCAGTGTTCAATAACAGTACCTTGCCACGAGCCTAAAGGTAAATTGTACCGCTCTAGCGTCTGTGTTCCTCAGTGTTCCCAGTGTTCAATAACGGTACCTTGCCACGAGCCTAAAGGTAAATTGTACCGCTCTAGCGTCTGTGTTCCTCAGTGTTCCCAATCAAGTATCATGACCCAGTGAAGGTTTTGTTTGAGCTACAGTATCTTATATCCGTCAACAGTCTAACCTTTACCCCTTCTGTTCTTTCACATGATCAAATCTATTAATAATTCAGTAGTTTAATCTATGGACTGAATCTCTTAGTTACTGATGTTCACCAGTTTCCTTACAATATATTTTTTAACTGTTCTTTTTCAGCGATTCAATTCCCTGAAGTGACATTAGTTGGAGCTCAAACCGGAAATGACGCGTCACTCAGAGTCAAGACGCAAGAGATGCCGCTAACAGTAAATGGAAACTCATATAATGCAACAACAACAAAGTACCGCATCCAAGCTAAGAATGTTAATGATCCTGTAAATCTCTGTCGCGAGAAAGTGGGAACCAACACACAATACCCAGATGAGATGCTGGACCAATGTGATAATACGCAACCCATGGACAAATTTACTCGTAAGTAGATCATTATGTGTCATTATGTTTCCCTTCCTCCCTCCTGTTCACGAAAGACCAGGTGGAGATGAGGTGTACACAATATAAGAAATTACAAACATATTAAGGTTCAATATATATTTGTCTGGTAATTTAATATACTGGGTAGTAAAAATAGCCAATAACCATCATTTTAGAGCATGTTTAACTCATTTCTGTTTTGGTGGAGACGATTATGAAGCTGGATAATTTTGTATATACAGGGTGTCCATAAATAATTACCCTGATTAAAGCATGGTCTACCACTGTGTTTAGGGTAATAATTTATGGTACACCCTGTATTTTTTCTTCTAATAGATGCCGTGTGATCAAATGGTGTGTATGTGTGTGTGTGTGTGTGTCTATTGTGTTCACTCGATCAGGTGGGAGGGTTGGCCCGAGTGACGCTGCATGCACCTTAGAGCTGCCTCTGATAATTAAGACAGAAAAAAAAAATATTATTAAAAAAAATGTGAATTTAGATAAGACTAAGGGAAGTAAGGTGATGGTAGGTGAAGTAAGGTGATGATGGTAGGTGAAGTAAGGTGATCTTAGGTGAATTAAGGTGAAAAAAGATGACACTAGGTGAAGTAAGGTGACTGTAGGTGAAATAAGGTGCTCCCTCATCTCACCGCAGCTATGAGCAAACCACAGAAAGTACTGTTGACGTACCAGCAGCCAGACAGGACAGCAACTCTATCCGTGACCACCACATACAAGGCGCAAACCTCGTCAGTAGAAGTAGTGAAGTATAATTCGAGCGACAGTGACGTATTCAAGGACCCGAAAACGTGTGCTCTGACGCCGAGCAGGAGGTCTACAGCCGGGGATGAAACCGAATGTACAACTGCTCCTTTCACTATCCCAGAAGAGGAAATTGATCTGGTATTGTTGGTGGTGGGAGTGACAGCTGAGTCTAAAGTTCAAGAATCTGTCGTTGTTGACTTCGAAGGTAAGTGTCAGGTTTTGTTCCGTGCTATTAAGATGTCAATATGAGGTTTTGTTCCATGCTATTAAGATGTCAATATGAGGTTTTGTTCCGTGCTATTAAGATGTCAATATGAGGTTTTGTTCCGTGCTATGCTATTAAGATGTCAATATGAGGTTTTGTTCCATGCTATTAAGATGTCAATATGAGGTTTTGTTCCATGCTATTAAGATGTCAATATGAGGTTTTGTTCCGTGCTATTAAGATGTCAATATGAGGTTTTGTTCCGTGCTATTAAGATGTCAATATGAAGTATTATTTTCCACACAATCAGAACGAAAGTAGCAATACGGTGAAGCTAATCGTTCCTCTCTCTCACACACACACACAAACACACATACAACCCCTACATTTGCAGATTACAAGACAACAGTACAGCAGCTGACGGCCGATGCTTTTGAAGTACGTTTCGCAGCCAAGGAAAACACTTTGTATAAGATAAACGTAACACCCAATGGAGGCGCATTCAATACCAGCACCGTACAGTGTGGGGCCGAAGACAACAAGAAATGCAATGTGTATTTCATCTCGGTGACAGCAGGCCATTCATATATCGCCAGTGTGAAGAAAGATGGTACTGATGGTGACAAGAATGTGGTAGCTGCATCTTTCAACATGGAAAGCAACACGCCAAGTAAGTACTATGGTGGTCGTCAGGCTTACTTGTCATGGTTGCGTCATAACAGCCAATCATGGGGTCTTTCTGTCAACCATACCAGGATACACTATATCTGACAGTCAACCATACCGGGGTACACTATATCTGACAGTCAACCATACCGGGGTACACTATATCTGACAGTCAACCATACCGGGGTACACTATATCTGACAGTCAACCATACCGGGGTACACTATATCTGACAGTCAACCATACCGGGGTACACTATATCTGACAGTCAACCATACCGGGGTACACTATATCTGACAGTCAACCATACCGGGGTACACTATATCTGACAGTCAACCATACCGGGGTACACTATATCTGACAGTCAACCATACCGGGGTACACTATATCTGACAGTCAACCATACCGGGCACTATATCTGGCAGTCAACCATACCGGGTACATATCTGAGTCAACCATACTGGGTACACTATATCTGACAGTCAACCATACCGGGGTACACTATATCTGACAGTCAACCATACCGGGGTACACTATATCTGACAGTCAACCATACCGGGGTACACTATATCTGACAGTCAACCATACCGGGGGTACACTATATCGACAGTCAACCATACCGGGGTACACTATATCTGACAGTCAACCATACCGGGTACACTATATCTGACAGTACATATCCAGTCAACCATACCGGGGTACACTATATCTGACAATCAACCATACCGGGGGTACACTATATCTGACAGTCAACCATACCGGGGTACACTATATCTGAGTCAACCATACCGGGGTACACTATATCTGACAGTCAACCATATCGGTACAATATATTTGGGTCAAATGATGACAAATTTACAAAATATGACAACCAACCAATGACAGCCCTAGACGACGTGACAACCAACCAATGACAACCCTAGACGACGTGACAACCAACCAATGACAGCCCTAGACAATGTGAGAACCAACCAATAACAGACCTAGACTACGTGACAACCAACCAATAACAGCCCTGGACGACGTGACAACCAACCAATGACCGTCCTAGAAAACGTGACAACCAACCAATGACAGCCCTAGACAAGGTGACAGCCAATAAACGCAAGAGCCAATCAGCGAAGAACACACGCTGCATAACAACCAATCGGTGACCTTCAGGTACCAAACACAAAGACTATAATAGTGTCACAGTTCACACATTCACTCCTTCCTAACCTAAGCTTACTCAACCTGAATTAAACCTAAGCTTGCTCTTAACCTGAATTAAACGTAAGCTTACTCTAACTCAACTTGAATTTAACATAAGCTTACTCTAGCTCAACCTGAATGAAATCTAAGCTTACTCTTAACGCAATCTGAATTAAACCTAAGCTTACTCTTAACCTGAATTTAAACCAAGCTTCCACTAAGTCAATTTGAATTAAACCTAAACATACTCTTCACCCGAATTTAACCTAAGCTTACTCTTAACCTGAATTTAACCTAAGCTTACTCAAACTCAACCAGAATTAACCTTAAGCTTACTCTTAACCTGAATTTAACCTAACATCAATTTATTCTAACACAACTCTAAATTTATTCTAATCCCACTTAAGCAGAAACTTAATCCCACTTAACTTATTCTCAACTTCCTCTTGACATAACCAACATAAACTAACCTTAATCTAAACACAATTTAATTTTACCACCTTCCTGATCTAATCTTTTTTACGTAAGTTCGTCCCTGGCCAGAACCCTCGAGGAAAGCCACACTGACGCTTCAAACCCACGATAACACCCACGTACTTGAGGTATGTGTTGACGGCGATGTGAGCACTACCTCCACCTACAACTTAGTCATATTAGACATGGTGGGAAAGACCTCCAGCAAGACCCAAACCCTGAATAACAAATGCTTCAGTGAGATTAATTTGAGTGTCAACGTGAACCAGCAACTCAGGATACTCGCCTACACTGATGACAAGAATCGTACTGTTGTTTTGGAGACTAACGTGTATCTCCTGGGTAAGTTGATGTTGCATTTGGGGGACTTTAGTTGCCAGACTCTATAAGAACCGTTCATTATTAGGACAAATAACGGGGTAATTATTGTTAATGTTGTTTTGACTTTGCGGGGGGGAGGAGAGGGTAGGCTGCCAAGGTTTATTAAGGTTTTTTTTTTAACAAGATATAGGTTTATTAAAACATGTATCATTAGGTATTGTATATAGATCGACATTATTCAGTTCTAACTATGCTCTACGCTGGCCAGGACGAGAATAAACGTAGTTATGGTAAACAAAAAAGGGTGACAATTATAAGATAACTCTCAAAATAAACAATAAAACAAAAACTGCTAAACCAACACTGGAATCATAGTCAAAATAACACATCTGCCATCACGAATTCCTGTGACGTCACTGTGGTCATAATTTTTACGAAAACATTGACGTAAGTTAAATGATTTTATGGTAAATATGTTAAAGAATAATACACTCATCACCACAGAGGGAGAGAGATAATAATATGTTCATCACCAGAGACGAATTTATTAGCTTATAGAAATAATAGAACATAATAACATTCACTTACTTACGGACGGTGGTTGGTGACGTCACAGTTGGTCGTTTGACGCTAATCACACTTGAATTACCACCAATAAATGAAAAGTATAATTAACACAATACTGTACCTTAGCACACTTATAATTAATCACGTAAAACACTACTATTGGCCTTGATGAGGTTTTAGTTTACAAGCGAAAGGTTGAAACTTTTCTACAACGCGTCGCAAGAAAACTGATTTGTGTCTGTTGAGATAATTTTCCATGTCTTCTCGTCCTTCTCGTTCTTTCACACAATTATTTTTCTTGGAAATGATTGCACTGAAACTCCCACGAAATTTCATTGTTAGTAATTTTAGGTGAAAATCCTCTCGCCTTTGGTCACTGATCAACATAACACTTCCAGTTTGGTGTAAGGTAAGACACTGGTGCGGTCGGGCGGCACACTTTTACCATTTAAAAAATAAATTATTGATTTTATAATTCACGGTTCATTGAAGGAAAATAAGTATGAAAAAATTAATAATAAAATATAAATGTTTCATCACATATTTTGTTGAATTAATATTTAATACTGTATACCAGAACACTTTTCGAAAGTCACAAATCAGCGGGTCAGGGGCAACACTAATATGTATTTCTTGTAACGACCCAGTGAGACGTCAACAGAGTATTTCTTCACTTATATTATGTAAATGCATATACCGTACAATACGTGCAGTAATAATACATGATTATACTCTTATTAAAATTAAATATGAAATAATGATATATACCTCGAGAATATACTGTACATGGTGTCAGATTCAACTAGTTTCGCTTATTAATAGTTCAATTTATATAGATGTATTTATTCAGTAAAATAGCCATACAATTTTACATTGATTCTGCGTGCATAAAGGGTAATCGTAAATGATTCAAATTAAATAAAACTTTTTTCAAACAATTCCAGAGTAATTTTAACTAACAAAATTGTAATTGCAATTAGCTATGTTGAACGTAACAATACAATTGATAAAATATTACAGTTAAAATGTATGACCACAATAAGTGTATATTAGTTATATTAGACCTTGTGTGCCGGACCAGTGGCGGGTGTACTGATGTCCGGCTGCAACTCTTTCAGAAGCACAACAATCTAATTTTTCGCTGTTCTCGGAAATTTCAGCCACAGACAACGACAAAATTTTAAATCAAATATTTGACGCCCTAAACCAGGTGTACAAGAGGTGTACTGTACAGGGTTTAGATAATGGAGAGAGAATTACCAGATGTTAGTTGGATCACTCCTCTATCCCGTCTGAGCCACTCATTACAGTACTGGCAGGACCATAACCCAGGTCTTGCTGCCATGGTGTCCCTCCTCCTCTGCCCCCCCCAGAACGTCTCTTCAGTACAGTATTGGGGGGATGTCGTCATCTAGTTAAACAAACAGTCATAATCGGTAACTGCAATCAATTATCTTCATTTGTCAGCTGTAATAGTATTTGAACACAAGCAAAATAATTATAATCAATTACATTATCATTGTAATCGTTTCAATCCAGGTATACAGTTCAACATGTATATAGACTATAGACACACAATATACATAAACTATGCAGGTAAACGATAAACATAGACGATAAAGATATACAATACCCATACAGGTATACCAATAATACACCTCCAGAATAGCATATCTAAACCCACTGAATTTATACAGATATGTCAGAAACTCTCCAAATGACCCAAATTGGTGGTAAAGTAATTAAGGCTTCGTGGACCAACAACAACAACGGTGACGTGACCTACACCATAGATCTTGGCAGCCACAACACTACCAGCCAAGTGCCGTGTAAGGCTGGCCATCGCTGCCTCACCTACCTTCACCTCAATGACGATAAAGATAACTGGCGTATTGACGTCACGGAGAATAACCAAGGAACTGTTCAGAAGATGCAGGTCAATGTAGCCACAGTGGATATACCAGGTGGGTGGGTAAAGTGTTCATCGTGAGAGAGAGAGAGAGAGAGATCCAAGAGTCTCACCCCTATCTCCCCCCTTACAGATCTTTCCCTGAAGACTCACAGTATCCAGTGGGACGATCGCCTCAGGGTATGTTTCCCGAAGGTGGAAGGCGCCGCTAGGTACGAGTTGGGGCTGCAGAAGGGCCCCGTGTACCTGGAGACCACACCCAAGGCCCGTGTGGAGACGCAGACAGATGGGGGTGTTTGCGTCTTCAGTAGTGATAAAGTGGATGTGGGAGCTTACATCAACCTGTGGATGTTGGTCACTGCTTTCAATCATGACGGCGGCATCGTGGCCTCCGGAGAGAGCACCTGGAATGACATCTGTGAGTAGACAGGACTGTGTGCACCGCCATCTGTGAGGGGAAACGCGTGTCTTGTGTATTGACAATCTCATTTGGATATTTTTTTTTAATCCACCCCCTTGTCTTCCCGTCAGTTAATCCTCCTCCTTGTCTTCCTGTCAGTTAATCCATCCCCTTGTCTTCCCGTCAGTTAATCCACCCCATTGTCTTCCCGTCAGTTAATCCACCCCCTTGTCTTCCCGTCAGTTAATCCACCCCTTGTCTTCCCGTCAGTTAATCCTCCTCCTTCCTGTCAGTTAATCCATGTCTTCCCGTCAGTTAATCCACCCTTGTCTTCCCGTCAGTTAATCCTCAGTGTCTTCCCGTCAGTTAATCCACTCCTTGTCTTCCCGTGTTGTCTTCCCGTCAGTTAATCCACCCTTGTCTTCCTGTCAGTTAATCCACCCCATTGTCTTCCCGTCAGTTAATCCACTCTTGTCTTTCCGTCAGTTAATCCACTTGTCTTCCCGTCAGTTAATCCACTCCATTGTCTTCCCGTCAGTTAATCCACTCCCTTGTCTTCCCGTCAGTTAATCCACCCCATTGTCTTCCCGTCAGTTAATCCACTCCCTTGTCTTTCCGTCAGTTAATCCACTCCATTGTCTTCCCGTCAGTTAATCCTCCTCCTTGTCTTCCCGTCAATTACTTTACCATTTATCTTCCCGTCAGTCCTGAGTGTCGACCGCACGGTACACGCGGCCATCAAAGAGAAGCACATCATCACCTCTTGGTACCTACTAGAGGACGCCTCAACTGTCGACAGCTTCCACGTGACTTTCCGCTCGGCAGACAACACGACCATAAACTCTTACTCTGCCTCAACCTCCAGCAGCTCTCACACCTTCGCTATGCCCAAGCCGGGGAAGTATACAGCATGTGTGGTGGCTCAAAAATCCCTACCGAAGATCAATAGCGAGGAGGTGTGCAGTAACATCATCCAAGTCTCATCTAACAACGGTACGTCCTCACCTGATCATTTAATCCCCCATAGCTAAATTTCACCTTAAGATTCAACATCATTATGCGACCTGAGAGGGACAGGTTTGATTAGGTATATTAAGTTGAGGCAAATGGTAAGGTTCATCTTAGATATTAATCCTATTTCTTATTATTCGACGAAGACTTAGATTCCATTTCTTTTTGTATCTTTCTTTCATTAATTTTCTTCTCGGGTTCCTATTCATCTTTCTTTATATTTCTCTTTCGTCTCCTTACAGACGTGGATGTCCCTACAGTTAGTGGGGACAAGCCTAAAACCACAGCGGATGACGCCGTGCTAGTGACATGGCAGCCACCCCTAGAACCAATCAAAGAAGTCTCCGGTTTCTACGTCAATTGGACCAAAACTTACTCGAAATCAACTGTAGTGGACCGTCTTCCGCCATTTTCCCTTGTCCGGCTTCACAGAACACAGAGCGACAAGCTTCAAGACGACTCAAAAGGCTTCATCATTGTGCCAGCTTCTGATACCAGCGTGCAGATCGACGGCTTGGATAAAAACGAGAAATACTCTTTCTGTATCTCCGCCGTGATGGACAGCGTTGTGGGGCAGCCGGACTGTCAAACCTCAGACCTCAGTGAGTTACTCTGTAGATATTATCACCACCAACACCATTATGGTCTGTGAAGGCGTCGGTGTTGGTAATGGTGACTTAACATTTGTTCAAATATTTCATTCAAAGTCGTGGGTCAAGAATCTTAAAGGTTATCAGATTAAAATTCTTTCCGTAAGGCTGGTGGCCAAGATAACGCCGACAAAGGGCTTCTGAGACTGCCTAAACTCGCTCTACACTCTACCCCTAATGGGTTAAACACGTACTGTACATTGCGAGAGTTTTTAGACCTTATGGTTAAAATTAGAAAATACAAGAAATATATCGGTATGTTTTCAAACCTTCTAGAAGCCTTTGTGAGTCTCTCATTGTGTGTAAATAACACATATTGTACTGTAGTATAACACCAGATGAATTTGCTATAGAAGACATGACTTTATAAAAACCAGGATGTAAATACCACCTACCCTGTCGCCAGCTACGGGGGGAAGCCGAACAAAAACAAACATTGTTATTCTTAAAAAGTAAATAACCAAAGTTGTTATGTGATATAAACTTAGAAAAAAAAAAAGATAATGCCAAAAAAAAAATATCTATATAAAACAAAAATGGTTTAAACAAATCTACCCTGTACAGAGACGAACATATTCCCCTGGACACGTGAGGACCATTAGGTGAAGATGATTGGAATTTTAACATCAAAAGTGATCAAATTTCAATCATCTTTTCTTTGTATTAGCGAGTTTCTTTTACTATCTTGTGGTTCAGACATAAAATGTGATAAAAAAGCCGCGTTATTATATATAAACTAATCATATGTAGGACCCACAAGTTGATGACAGATATTGACAGGTGTTTTGGGTATTTTGTCAACAAGTCTAATCTGTCTCGAGGGATTTAAGTGTCAGTTTGAATGAGTAATAGACCTTTTGTAACCTCTTAGGGTGTATGATAATTACTGTCCGTGTAAATAAGAACTAGTTGAGGGAATTGTATCAAGTGTGTGTGTGTGTGTGTGTGTGTGTGTGTGTGTGTGTGTGTGTGTGTGTGTGTGTGTGTGTGTGTGTGTGTGTGTGTGTGTGTGTGTGTGTTTGTTTGGGAAAGTGAAGCAAGGCAAGTTAGTGTTATTGTTTATATTCTCTCTCTCTCTCTTCTTTCTCTCTCTAACCTAATCCCAACCAAACCTAAACCTAACCTAACTAAACCTAACCTAAACAACCTAAACCTAACCTAACTAAACCTAACCTAAACAACCTAAACCTAACCTAACTAAACCTAACCTAATCCCAACCAAACCTAAACCTAACCTAACTAAACCTAACCTAAACAACCTAGAACCAAACCTAACGTAATTCTAACTACTCTCTGCAGGCTCATACAAGGAACTGGACGCACCTATCGACCTGAAAGTCTCCTCTAAAGGCGTAGTAAATTGGTCCAGCTCGATACAGAAGCTCAACTTCTTAGTGGAATGGACTCCTGACGGTGAGGGCAAACAAGGTCACATACAGGTCAAAGGCGAGACCTCCTACACGTTATCCTGTAGTCCCGGAAACTGGAAGGTCTCGGTAAGAACTGTAAGCGATGAAAGCTACAGCGATCCTGCCACTGTAGATGCAACATTCACAGGTAAGTCACATAACACCTGAGATAGATAGATAGATAGATAAATAGATAGATAGATAGATAGATAGATAGACAAAAAGTGAAGGAGAGGAATAGACAAAAGAGGTTATGAAAGATTAAAATACAGAAATTAAAGGAGAGAGAGAGAGAGAGAGAGAGAGAGAGAGAGAGAGAGAGAGAGAGAGAGAAAAAAAAACTGATAAAACTTGCTTGTATTATATTGTAATTTTGTTGTGTAGGTACAGGTATGTGTAAACAGCATCAGGACATCAACAACTTTGTCTTTACGTTCCTCCAGGTATAAATCAAGTCCCCGAACAGGTGGGAGAGTCAAGTATTAAAGTATCATGGTGGGAGCTCCCCCCACCTGAGAAGAATCAGAAGTACACCATCTCCGTCTACCAGAACAACGAGCTGAAAAGAAGCCTACCACACATCTGCTCGGGACACAAAACAGTGGATGATTGCAGTGTAGTGTTCGAGGACTTAGTGGCGAGAGTGGTGGATCCAGTGCCTTACGAGATTAATATTAAGTCCTCTGATAACACCACTTTCAAGTCTAATTTCACAATAAAACCTATCCCCAGTGAGTTTCATTTACTCGTGTATTCAATGAAAAACCAATTAGTTTAGATTCATGATTAAGTTTGCAACTGTTTATACTTTCTGATGTTGGAGAAACTAACACACCCAATCTACCGTACGAGTAATGACCCATTTGTCAACAATTCCCTCGTTGTTTTCATTTCAACCAACTCGCAAATCTACTCCAATGACGTGAAGATTTGGCACCCCAGATAACTTCACCTTTAGATTAACCTAACTTAACCCCTACAGGTAACATAAGGGTGTTTAATTATCAACTGAAATAAGCTCAGGGTTGGACGGGACAGTTAATCTTTACGTGAACCATCTGACCAAACGTGTAAAGCTATTATATGATGTTAACTAAGTCTGTGTTCCTTCCCAGGTGTCACTTCCCTCACTCAGACTATCAAGAGCAGCGACAAGGTGGTAGTAGGGTGGCAGCAAGTAGACGGCGCCCAGTTCTACACCCTGAGTCTGTATTCTGACGCGATTCTCACAGACATACGGGTCGAACACAAGGTGACTCTCCCAACCAGGTGAGGAAATGTTACAGTGTGTTTAGAGCCTCCCAGTATATACAAACACCCTTCTATACACGGAGGAGAGCTCTGTATTATCCTATACATAGATACTGTAGAAATTATCCATATAATCAATTCCGTGACCTTGACCTTTGACCCTGCACTCACCGCCCCGGAGTCTCAACAGTAAACACATACACTGGACATAGTATAAACAACATCTCCACCACTTCACTTCATTAAAACCATCACAAATCATTACCAAATAAACTAACAAACTAATAAACATCCACAAGTGTTTTATATATATTATCTGTCAGTGAAAAGGGTGATTAAAGAAATATGGTCAAGGGAGAAGAGAGAGAGGTAGGGGAAGACTCACACCGCTGTTCTTTACCACACAGTTTCACGCTGACAGAGGATAACATGATGGGGAACGTGGTGACCATACAAGCGTGTGTAGACGACAATCACTGCGGCGACCCATTGAAGATCACCATTAATGACCCCGTCCCGCCAAGTGGTGAGTGGTACTAATGTTGGGGTGGCACTAATGGGGTGTGGCACTAATGGGGTGTGGCACTAATGGGGTGTGGCACTAATGGGGTGTGGCACTAATGGGGTGTGGCACTAATGGGGTGTGGCACTAATGGGGTGTGGCACTTAAGGGCCAACTGGTGGATGGGGTGGCACTAATGGGGTGTGGCACTAATGGGGTGTGGCACTAATGGGGTGTGGCACCAATGGGGTGTGGCACTAATGGGGTGTGGCACTAATGAATGGGTGTGACACTAATGGGGGTGGCACTAATGGTGGGGTGGCACTAATGGGGTGTGGCACTAATGGGATGGCACTAATGGGTGTGGCACTAATGGGGTGTGGCACACAATGGGGTGTGGCACCACGGGGTGTGGCACCACGGGCACTAATGGCACTAATGGGGTGTGGCACTAATGGGGTGTGGCACTAATGGGGTGTGGCACCACGGGGTGTGGGTGTGGCACCAATGGGTGTGGCACTAATGGGGTGTGGCACCAATGGGGTGGCACTAATGGGGGTTAATGGGGTGTGGCACCATGGGGGTGTGGCACTAATGGGGTGTGACACTAATGGGGTGTGCACTAACGGGGGTGGCACTAATGGGGTGTGGCACTAATAGGGTGTGACACTAATGGGGTGGCACTAATGGGGTGTGCACCAATGGGGTGTGACACTAATGGGGTGTGGCACTAACACTAATGGGGTGTGCACACACAATGGGTGTGGCACTAATGGGGTGTGGCACTAATGTTGGGGTGGCACAAATGGTGGGGTGGCACTAATGGTGGCACTATGTTGGGATGGCACAAATGGTGGGGTGGCACTAATGGTGGGGTGGCACTAATGTTGGGATGGCACAAATGGTGGGGTGGCACTAATGGTGGGGTGGCACTAATGGTGGTGGAGTGGCACAAATGGTGGTGTGGCACTAATGTTGGGGTGGCACAATGGTGGGGTGGCACTAATGGGTGGGGTGGGTGGCACTAATGGTGGGTGGCACTAATGTTGGGATGGCACAAATGGTGGGGTGGCACAAATGGTGGTGTGGCACTAATGTTGGGGTGGCACAAATGGTGGGGTGGCACTAATGGTGGGGTGGCACTAATGTTGGGGTGGCACTATTGTTTGGGTGGCACTAATTTCACCTGACTAAGACCCATGTTTCCTGTCTGACCTGACCAAACCCCTTCCCTTGTATCTCACTTGACCCAACTCCTGTTTGACCTGACCTACCCACAGAAAACAACTCCGTGATAGCGGTGTCGGTGTTGGGAGGGATCCTGGGTACTGCTCTTGTTGTGTACATCGTGGGAGCCGTCGTGTAAGTAACCATCCTTGGAGCTTAAGTGACGTCAGCCAGTTCTCATTATAATATCTGGATATAAACGTATGGACAATAAATAATAATAATAATAATAATAATAATAATAATAATAATAATAATAATAATAATAATAATAATAATAATAACTGGACTTTACACCAGTATGTCACAGAAGAAGAAGCGGGGGTTGAAGAAGGCTATTGAACGCCAGCAGGAGAAAGTCATAGAGATGTCTCCACCCCCTCAGGTGAGTGTCTCTCATCCTCATCTCTCACCTGATCTTATTGTGTCTCTCATCTCTCACCTG